TGGGGAAGAAGCTTTGGAGAGGGTGAAATTTTTGGAGAGGGTGAATTGGGTCCAAGATGGGGTGCAGGGAACAGGGGCAGTTGTCATGGTTTGTCCTTGTTGCTGCCATTCGACTCCTTTTCTTGTAATGTTGAAATCTGGAAATCCTCCTTCTACCTCTGAAAAGAAGTTGTGACTTAGTGAGGGCTATGGTACTTTGAGTCCATATCAGCAGAATATATGCCCCTTTTCTGTGGTCAGCACAGCTCAGCTGACAAAGCCCTCCCATGCAGATGACCTCATTTGAGCTTCTAACAAAGGAGTTGGTATTGGGCTCCTTTATGCACTGTGCTTGGGTGACAGAGTATGATGGATTGGGCTGAGGCATTGCCCCCAGGCTTTGCTGCCTGACCTTGTTCTCTTCGGCAAGTTGGTTAACGCTGCAGAGCCTCAGTTTCCTTGGAAGAGTATCCTGAATGTGAAGTATCTTTAGATAGATCGGTGACAAATGTGCTGAGTCCTGAACAGATGCTGTTGTTGCCAGGAATAGAGGTTTGGTTCGGTAAGATAGTGCTTGTGATACCCATAGCCCGCATTGGGGTGCCTGGGTTTGGGTCCTGGCTTTGCTTTGGATCATGTTCTGCTAATGTGCACCCTATGAGGCAGCAGACAATGACTCAAGTGATTGGTTCCTGACCCTCACTTGGGAGACCTGGATTGGGTTCCTGGCTCCTGACTCCAGTCTGGCCCAGTTCTGGTTGTTGTACTCATTTGGAGTGTGAACCAGCAGATCAGCAAAATCAGCCTCACTTTAATGATCCCATCTGTTTTCCCATCTCTGCCTTTCAAATAGATACATAACATTTTAGAAAATATTTATTTATTTGCTTATTTATTTTAAGATGTTTATTTTTATTAGGAAGGCAGAGGTAGAGAGAAGGAGAGCCAGAGAGAAAGATCTCCACTGGTTCATTCCCCAAATGGCCACAAAGGCCAGAGCTGGGCCAATCTGGAGCCAGGAGCTGCTTCTGGTCTTCCCTGTGGGTGCAGGGGTCCAAGGACTTGAGCCTTCCTTAACTGCTTTCCAAGGCCATAAATAGAGAGGTGGATAGAAAGTGGAGTGGAGTACCTAGGATACAAACTGGTGCCCATATGGGATGCTGGTGCTAAGAGGCAGATTAGCCCAATGTTCCACTGTGCCAACCCCAGAAAAAAAAATTTTTTTAATGTTCTTGCCAAGTTGCTTACCCAGTGGCTTCAAAGCACCAGCTTGAACTTGGATTTTTCAACCTGTGGATTTACACTTATGTATTCAGCATCCATGTATGTCCTGTAGGAAGGAGGGATCTTCCAATAAACATATTGCAATATGTTCAAGATAGTATGTATAGCTAAGCAATGGGGTAGAACAGAGAAATGGTGCTCTGTTTAGTTAGGAAAGACTCTAAAACAGCAAGTGGGTCTATAAAATTAACATTGTTTCAATTTCTTTGAATCCAGGCATTTTTTTCAGTGTTTGAGTATTAATGTCAGTATTTTGGTTACAGACTCTTTTTTAGCATGTGATAGAAAAATAATAGCCCCAGGCCTGGTACTGCGATTTAATGGGTTAAACCATTGTCTGCAGTCCACTGAAGGACCCTCTGCTGCTTTCCCAGGGCATAAGCAGAGAGTTGGATGGGAAATGGAACAGCTGGGATACAAACCAATGCCCATGTGAGATGCTGGAACTTGCAGGTGGAGTACTAGCTTTATTGAGCCACTACACCAGCCCCAAAGAAATATTTCAAAAACTAGACTGCATAGTAGAGCATATGAAGAAATTATTTTGTGTAACTGGTGCAGTGACTTCACTGGCTAATCCTCTACGTGCAAGTGCTGGCATACTATATGGGCATGGTTTGAGACTCAGCTGCTTCACTTTCCATCCAGCTCCCTGCTTGTGGCCTGGGAGGGCAGTGGAGGATGGCCCAAAGCTTTGCAACCCTGCACTCACAGGGGAGACCCAGAGCTGGATCAGAAACAGAGCAGCTGAGACATGAACCAGTGTCCATAGGGAATGCTGGTGCTATAAGGCAGAGGATTAGCTAGTTGAGCCATTGCGCTGGCTCCAGTCTTGTTTTTGTTTTTTGTTTTTTAGAGTCCAGCTAAGGTTCACACATTGTGCTTGGTTGTTTCTCTGTTAACGACGTTGACTTTTTAAAGACCTGACCATTTGATTTGTGGAATGTCCCATATTCTGCAGGGTATGTTTCTTCATGCTATAGTTTAAGTCATCTGTCAGCACTTTCTTTTCATGTAACAAATTGGCAAGTGTTCCTTATCCCTCATATTTTCCGTAAACTGGAAATTAGATTTAAAAGCTAATTAGCTTCATTCAGATCAACTGTTTCTGGCAAGAACACTTCACCAGTGACATTGTGTAATTCTAAAGATGCCACACTGGGAAATATATGCCAGGTTGCCCTGACTAGTGATGCTGGCCTTGATGACTTGGTTAAGGGGACCATTAGATGTCATTTTCATCAAAGCATAGAAGGCAGTAATACATTGGATGGTACTTTAGTACCACGAGGAACTGTCTTGTCACCCACACCTTTAACCCAGTGGTGTTAGCATCTACTGATGATGCTTGGGTTATGTAACAACAGTTGCAAAATGGTGATCTTACACCATTATCATTCCTCTGCTTATTAGCTGATGGCCTGCTGTAACCCTCGACAGTTTTGTCTAGAACATCGGCTGTACTTTTAATACAGGTTTAGGAGGCTAACATTCCAGCAGAGCCCAGCTGGCATGAGCCTGGGTGACCACCAGCTCCTGGGGGTGAAAGTGTCATGTTCTTGGGGAAGGGGAACTGTACTGAGCTCTTTATTGTCCTTTTCCATTTCCAGTGAATTGCAAAATAAATGTTCAGCTCCAGAGATAACACAGACTGTCCTCCACAACAACAACAACAACAACAAATGACCTCAGCTTTTAACCTTCCAGGTCATTCAGCAAAGTGGCATGATAAAGCGCTCCACAGCCCGCAGGAATCACCCAGTACCAGACCCTTCTCCCCTCTCCAGACCCTTTGAAGTCTGTTAGAATTGCAAGAGGGTTGGGCCAGACTTATTTCCTCAACAGTAGGATCAGGGAGTTGGACCTGGCAGTTCCTGGCATTTCTACCAGCCTGACCAACATTCTAAGAACCGATCACCTTTGTTTACTAATTAAGTTCCTTGAGCCCTTTATTTGAGTTTTGTACTTTATGCTTTTTGACACTTGAAGTCACACATGCCTGAATGCATTAGTGCTCCCCATTCAAATGTATTATCAGCAGTATAATCTCTTTATTTGTGTAGTACTTTCACTTTGTAAAAGCACTTAAATTTTCTTTTCATTTTAGTTGAAAGGCAGAGGGACAATCTTCAATGTGCTAGTCTACTCCCCAAGTGCCTACAGCAGTCCAGGCTGGGTCAGACTAAAGCCAGAAGTTTGGAACTCTTCATATCTCTCACTTGGGTGACACTGGACCCAGGTTCTTGAGCCATCTGCTGCCTCCCAAGGTGTCCATGGCAGGAAGCTGGAACTCCAGAGGAGATGCTGGACTCCCAAGCTGCAGTTCTGTTACACCAAATGCCTGCCCCTCTGAAGCACTTTTTAGTGTATCACTGATTAGATTCCTCAGGAGTAGATATTCTTGCTTTTTCTTTGAGTCTTATACACTGGAGGTTTAATTTCCCTCGCATTGATGTCACTGCTGAGCTGCTGTGATGGGCTCTGGCTGCATGGAATCTGTGGTATTGATTTGCCTGTGGTTAGTTGCTGCACACCAGCCTCGCAGTCACCTCTGCTGTGCCTGCCAGCTATCTTCTCAGCCTCCCCTGCATCAACAGCAGAGACTCTGTTAACTTTGACTCTGTGTCAAAGTGACCACTTCCTGTCTTGCCACCACTTTTGGATTCGGCTCTTTTCTCTGTGTGTGATCCAAGCACTCTCTGAATTTGAGACCCGAGGGCTTCTGTGTTGTCAGCTGGCTTCCTGTCTGTGTATTGGCCCTGTGTGTGGTGCTTCCTAACATAATTCCTTCACTTAACCTGCTTAGAAACCCTTGAAGATATGTATCACCTGTGCCATTTCACAGATAGGGCATCTAGGCTTAGAGTGTTTAGATGGCTTGCCTGTTGTCACAGAGTCAGTGACACCTCTGATGAGTACTGGGCTGGACTGCAGAGGACAACAGAAGCAGTGTGCGTTCTGTGCTGAGCTGTCTCACTTCCTGGAAGGGCCATCCCTGCTAGCGCAGTGCTGCATCCATACTCGGGTGCCTTCCCTGCAGTTTCCTTCATGAGCTCAGCTGAGATGAGCACAGGCTGGCTCCAGGAGCTGGATGGAGGGCCACAGCTGAGAGTGAGTGCCATGTGGCCAGGCTGTGCCCTGCTGGCTGGCTGAGTTTTGAAAGAGTGAACCAAGCCTAAACCGCAACACAGCAAGGAAATCCCTCCTTTTAAAGGGAGGCATTGGCACTCAGCACTGACTCTTGATGCTTCCCTGGGCTTCTTGGTCCTTGAAACTTGAGACCTAGAGGAGCGACCAGAGGGGTTTCTTGGCCCCGGGGGAGCTGGTAAATGCATTGCACAGGTGAGGGAGCAGCATGGGCATGGCAGCAGGTACTGTACATTTAGCCGTTTATTATACCAATTTTCCAGTAGGCAGTGACTGGTTTATCCTGCCATGGTGGGTACATTGGAGTAGTTTCCCTTAACAGAGAAGAAAGAGGTTTAGGGGCAGGATGGTTTACAAGCAGGAAAGAATGGTCTGGTGGTAGCCCTGCTTTTCACTCCATGATGCTCCTCTCTGGGCCTCTGTTTCCTCATCTCTTAGACCAGATCAGCAAGGTCCCTCTTGGGCATACATGGTAGGGGCTTGTGGGAGTGGGCAGTGTCCCCTGACAGTGCTGGGACTGGCAGACCTCTGCTCAGCTTTGCCTTGCTTCTTTGCTGTGCCTGTTCTTATCCCCATGTCTGTTCTCCAAGGGGGAGAAATCTCCGGCAGGACAGAGACCCTTCCGAGCTGAGGGCGCCATGGCTACATCAGCCCCACTGCGGAGCCTGGAAGAGGAAGTGACCTGCTCCATCTGCCTTGATTACCTGCGGGACCCCGTGACCATCGACTGTGGCCACGTCTTCTGTCGCAACTGCACCACTGATGTCCGCCCCAACTCTGGGGGCCGCCCCGTCTGCCCACTCTGCAAAAAGCCCTTTAAGAAGGAGAACATCCGGCCTGTATGGCAGCTGGCGAGCCTGGTGGAGAATATCGAGCGGCTGAAGGTGGACAAGGGCCGGCAGCCAGGAGAGGGAGCCCAGGAGCAGCAGGACACAAGGTTGTGTGAGCGGCACCAGGAGAAGCTGCACTACTACTGTGAGGATGACGGCAAGCTGCTGTGTGTGATGTGCCGTGAGTCCCGGGAGCACCGGCCCCACACGGCTGTCCTCGTGGAGAAGGCCGCCCTGCCCCACAGGGTAAGCCCACACACAGGCAGGGAGCTCTGCACTGCCTGAGGGCTCCTGGCCTGCCCAGGACCTTGCTGAAGGTTTCTCACCATCTGGGGACCCTGCCTGAATCCACTCTCCTGCCCCACTCCAGAGCATCCATCCGCCTGTCTCCATGCTTATCTTTCCACAGGAGAAAATCCTGAACCACCTGAGTACCCTAAGGAGAGACAGAGACAAAATTCAGGGCTTTCAGGCCAAGGGAGAAGCTGACATCCTAGCTGCGTTGGTGAGTGAGGCTGCGAGTGGGAGGGAGTTCCAGGAGCCATGCAGGTGAGGGCTGCAGTGGGTTTCAGCCCTGGCTTGCTCTGTCTAACCTGAGGACCTTAAGCTGGGGGCCTGTGTCTCATCTAACAGGTGAGGGGTTACCCAGATGTTAACTAGGGTCCCTTCCCTCCACCTCCACCCAGTGCTGGTGCCCTGCAGAAGCTAAGGCGGGCTTGACTTATTTTGCCTTTGGCTATGTGCAGGGTAGGGGCTGGACATGTAAGCAAACATGTTTTACTGAGATTGGAGGCAGGCATGGAGCTTAGGTGGGAGGGAACTGGCCACGTGTAGCAATGAGAGGGAAGGGCTAAGGCAGCCCTTGCCAGCTCTGAGGGAACAGGGTGCTGTCCGATGTGGCAAGGAGGGATCCCACCTAGATATTTCCTGTGCAGTGGTGGGGTGTTGCTGAAGGGAGGATTGGTGGGGCTTGGCTGACAAGCAAAGCTTCTGGGAAGAGGCAGCAGGCAGAGTTTTGTCCAGGAGGGAAAGGTGTGAGGAGGCCTATGGGGTTCCTTCAAGGCTCACCTAGAACAAGCAAGGGCTGGGCAGTCAGGCAAAGTCAGGGTTCTGGTGCAGGGACTGAGTGAGCCACACTCACTCACTGCTAGTGTCTTCTGCACTCCAAGCTTTTCCCACCCCAGATGCTGTAGAATGCCCGAGTAGGGGGAGTGACTGGAGAGTCAACCATGGGTGCCAGAGGGGTCTCTGCTTGGAGGCAGAGGTGTCAGTGCATCTCCCTTTCTGCTCTCCTGCTGCAGAAGAAGCTGCAGGACCAGAGGCAGTACATCGTTTCGGCATTTAAGCAGGGCCAGCAGTTTCTGAAGGAGCGGGAACAGCACCTGCTGGACCAGCTGACGAAGCTGGAGCAGGAGCTCCTGGACGGCCGGGAGAAGTACAAGAGCCGGGGCGTTGGGGAGCTCACGCGGCTGGCGCTGGTCATCTCGGAGCTGGAAGGCAAGGCACGGCAGCCTGCAGCAGAGCTCATGCTGGTGAGGAACCCCCACCCAGGGCAGGGACCTGGCAGCCCTGGGGGAATTGCCTCCTCTTAGGCTCATCTGAGACATTAGGTTGATAATACCCTCCCTTTCCCAGCCAAGGTTTGCATGGATATACAGTTGGATGGCTGGCATATGTCACTTCAAAAATATCCATGTTCTACCAAAAATATTTTAAAAATTGGAAAGTACTATGGAAATGAGAAGGAAGGTTGTTAGTAGGGCCCTCTGTGTTTACCACTGCCCTTGTGGAGTTCTGGAAAGGCAGAAAGGTGCCCTGGCAGGAGGAGCGCTGTCCATGGCTTAACCTCCAAAGAACCAAGGGAGGGCAGACAAGGTACCTTGGGAAAGCTTCATGGAGGAGGTGACTTTGGTTCTGAGACAGAGTTGTAGACTGGGGAACTGGTTGTTAAGTTAGAATGCTTCCTCTCCCTGCTTGAGCAGGGCCTAACTCTTAGAAAGGAGGAGGAGACCTTGTTCTTCCACCATCATGGGTCAGGAGAGTGGCTCTCCACTGGTCTCCCCTGCTTGTGTGGTTTCTTGTGAGTGGGTCTGACTTGTGGCAGGGCAAGCCAATAGCCAGCCAGGAGGAGGGAGGAGAGAGGGCAGGGTGAGTTCCCCAGAGCTGATGCCAGCTCACGCTGAAGGAAGAGGTGGCTCTGCCTGCCTCTCGCCCACTGTGGATCCAGACACATTGGAGCAACCAGCAGAGATCTTCGACTCCCCACGCCTGTCCCTGCTGTTGCTGTGGTCCAGGCCCTGGGTGGGTCAGGAATTAGATCAAAGCTTGAGCCCAGGTGTCCTGCTTCCCAGGCTTGGCACCTTCTCATTTCTCATTTGTCTGAAATGTCTCTCTGCCCCCTTGTCCTCCATTGTCATTTATGTCCCTGCGAGACTTTGGGTCCCTTGCTGCCTCTCCCCTGGCCTTTCAGGGATATGTCATTCCTTCCTCACAGCCACAAGTCACGCATGGAGCAGACAGGCACCAGCAAGATTCAATACATGCATGCAATGTGTATTAATCAAATCTGGGTATAATTAGCATTTCATCTCCTCTGACATGAAATCCTTCTTACATGTTGGGAACCTCAGGCTCTGCTAGTTAGTTTGAAATAGAGATTGTTAGTTGGCTGTAGTTGGCCAGTAGGCTATGGAAGTGGCTTGATTTCTGCAAAGCAGAACATCTAGATTGTGGCTATTGATTTCTGTCATATACCATTGCCTGAAACTTTGTCATCTGACCAGACTTGCTCACAGAAACTTGGGAAATGTAGTCTTCCTGAGTGCCCATTGCCCAACTTTAGGTGTATGGGTTCTAGTATTCCAGGGCAGAAGCGGGTGGTAGTATTGTGGTACAGCAGGTTTTTCTACTCTCTGTAGCACTGACATGCTATATGGGTGCAGGTTCTAGTCCTGGCTGCTCTACTTCTGATTCAGCTCCCTGCTAATGCACTTAGGAAAACAGTGAAGGATGACCCAAGTGTTTGGACCACTGCACCTGCATGGGAGACCAGGGTGGAGTCCCAGGCTCCTGGCTTTGGCCTGGCTGTTGTGACTGTTTGGAGTGAACCACTAGATTGAAGATCCCTCTTTCTCCTTTCTCTGTAACTTGCTTACCAAATAAATTAATCTTAAAGAGAGAGAGAGAGAGAGAGAGAGAGAGAGAGAGAAGCCAGGGAGAAAGGAGCCCTGGGGAGACTCAGTACATTGATCACATGGATCAGGTCTTCCTGGAAACCCTCCAGGGATTCCTCCTGGTACACAGAACTGGGTTCCATCTCCTCCCAACCCCGGAACAGAACCCTGCCCCTTTGTCATCCCTTCCCACCCCTTTTACTGGCCAGATTTTCTTGTTGCCAGTTTCTCCCCAGCACAAGTGGCCCCGTTGTTCCCAGCCTGCAGTTGGTTCTGTCACCGCGATTACTCTGTCTTTGGGTTTTTCCCCCGGGCTCTGTGAGGAAGGGCTCGTGTTTGTCCTGCTCTCTGAGGGGCTTCCTTCTCTCCTCTGGTGTCAGTGTGGGTGAGTGAAGTCTCACTTGATTCACTTTCTGCTGTGCTTTCTCCCCTTATAGGACACCAGAGACTTCCTGAACAGGTGAGAGCTCCCCTTCCACTGTGTGTGTCATTCCTCCGTGTGGGGGTCCCTGTGTCTTGTTACTTGACCGTGTCCTTTGGAATTAATGCGGAGTGATCTCGTTCCTTATTCTGTGGTTTGTCCTGCTGGCCTCGGGGAGCAGGAGCACCTGCTTGACTGGCTTGCCACATCAGCATGTTCTCTGTGATCCCGTCACTTGGGCCCATTATTATGTTCTTGAGGTGGGACAGAAAGGAGACCATGGAAACCTGGTCCAGACCTTAGCTGTGGAGAGGGGTTGTTCTTGAGGCCTGGCTCAGGAAGTGCCTCCTGACTACTGCTTTTGTGTTTCTGATGGGAGCTCTTCCAACCTTTACTGCCCCCTTCACAACTGTCTTAAGGATTGGGAGAAGAGCTTAAAGAAAGGTAAGAGGAACCGAGCGCCATGCTGTTTGGTCTCTTACCTCCCCAGGTATCCACGCAAGAAGTTCTGGATCGGGAAACCCATTGCCAGGGTGGTTAAGAAGAGGACTGGCGAATTCTCAGATAAGCTCCAATCTCTGCAGCGAGGCCTGAGAGAATTCCAAGGTGAGGGCTGGGAAGAACCCTGAATGTGGGGACTTGGGGGCCACTGCGTTCTGGCTCCTTTCTGTCATTTCCAGCCTCACTCCTCCAGCGGCCTCCTGGTTGTTGTGTCTGTCGTCTTGGCATCTCAAGGATGGGGCCCTGTTGTGAAATTAATACAGCCCAAGTGAGAAATGTGCCCAGAGCTGTGCTGGGTTGAGGGTCATTGCTCTTCTTTTTCTCCACAGGGAAACTGCTGAGAGACTTGGAGTATAAGACAGGTGAGTGTGTAAAGGTGGTCCCCAGGGCAACCTCACTGTTGTCCTGCAGAGAGCTTCTGTTGCTGCGGCCCTGGTGCAGCCCTTGCTCTTTGGTGATAGGGAGAATTTCCAGCAGCTAGCCTCCTCCTCCTTCCCCTTGCACTTTGCAGGGGAAGGCTTCCGATGGTTCCTGACCCTTTTCACAGACCCTACCCTCAGTCCTTGCCCTGTGGCTGAGTTCATTCTCCTGTGCCGTACCTAATGGCTCCTATACTCAGAGTAAGCAACAGGGTCTGCCCAAGGCCAGGGGTGGCTCTACCTCAGCCCCCCTGCTGTGCCACCTCTCACCTACCCCTGCCATGCTTGGCATAGCACCAGGGCACTCTTCCTTTAGAGCAGATGGCGGGGTGACATGTCCCGGGGGTGACATGTCCCGGGGGTGCTGTGAGATTGGTGTCCCAATTCACTGTAATGCTGTCTTTGTCGCCACAGTGAGCGTCACCCTGGATCCGCAGTCGGCCAGTGGGTACCTGCAGTTGTCAGAGGACTGGAAGTGTGTGACCTACAGCAGCCTGTACCAGGGTGCCTACCTGCACCCGCAGCAGTTTGACTGTGAGCCTGGGGTGCTCGGCAGCAAGGGCTTCACTTGGGGCAAGGTTTACTGGGAAGTTGAGGTGGAGAGAGAGGGCTGGTCTGAGGAAGAAGAGGAGGGTGACGAGGAAGAAGAAGGAGAAGAAGAGGAGGAGGAAGAGGAGGCTGGCTATGGGGATGGCTATGACGACTGGGAAACCGATGAGGACGAAGAATCCCTGGGAGAGGAAGAAGAGGAGGAGGAGGATGACGACGAGGAAGTTCTGGAGAGCTGCATGGTGGGAGTGGCCAGAGACTCTGTGAAGAGAAAGGGAGACCTCTCGTTGCGCCCTGAGGACGGGGTGTGGGCGCTGCGCCTCTCCTCCTCCGGCATCTGGGCCAACACAAGTCCCGAGGCTGAGCTGTTCCCCGCACTGCGACCCCGAAGAGTGGGCATTGCCTTGGATTATGAAGGGGGCACCGTGACTTTCACCAATGCTGAGTCACAGGAACTCATCTATACCTTTACTGCCACCTTCACCCGCCGCCTGGTCCCTTTCCTGTGGCTCAAGTGGCCAGGAACACGCCTCCTTCTGAGACCTTGAGTCTTGAGGCCTGCCTGGCCCTGACTGCATCCACAGCTGCTTCACTTCTCTGAGATTCCTGAATTCTTGAATTCGGAGCACCTGGAGCAGGGGAGGGGGCCACTGTGTCTGCACTCCCTCCCCCCACCTGTCTCGGGTCATGGCCTCATGAGGCCTCACTGAGTGGTTCTTCTTCCTCCTCCTGCTGGTTCTCTGTGGGCCCTTCTGGTCCTGGAGTCTGTGAGGACCCTCCCTCCCCACAGACCTTTCTTCTGTTATAGCTTTGTGCTCTCTGCTGACAACAGATCTGAGGCAGCCCCTGCCCAGGACGGTGTCCTCTGCCAGCTGTGTTGGTGAGACCAGTCTGAGAGCACCTCGCTGCTTTAAGTCCCCCTGGGTTCCCCTGCTCAAATCCAGTCAGTGCCCACCTACCCTGGAATTATAAGCTGATCCACCGCCACCTGGAGGTGAACTTACAGGAATATGCTGGAAGTCAACAGGATGGGCATTTCCAGAGGCTCCCCTGTCCCGGCAGGTCTGCCCCCACAAGCTCTGGTCGCTGGCATTGCCTTGTGAGGTCCAGAGCAGAGCCCAGGCTGCTCCAAAACCAGGGCTGAGCCAACGAGGCTTCTGTAGTATGGTTGTGGGGCTCCCTGAAAGGGAGACATGTGCCCACGAGTGGATAGCTGTTACCCATGGCCAAAAATTCCCTCCGCTTGGGTCTTTGTGAGGTGAGATTTTAAAAGAATGCAGGATCGCAGGGACACATGTTCCTGCTGTTGATCAGTGCATCTGAACAAGCCGGATCTGCAGGGTGACCCCCTCTAACCATACTCTGCAGGGACTGGTGAGCTGGCCCCCGGCCTTCCTCAGCATTCAAGCTCCTCTTCCTGGGGAGGGAGAGGAAAGGGATGGGAGCCCACCAGGTCCTCACTAACCATGTGCCCTAGCCAACTCCCAACCTTTGTGCAGGCACTCCTGGTGTCCATAGTTTAACACAGGCCCCCTGTTCTAGCAGAGATGGTGTCCTTGTCTGTCCTTGCCTACTCCAAGTGCTCTGCCAGTCCCCTGCTTATCCAGGTTTTTAATTCCTATGCCCTGCTCTGAGAGACGGCTCCCCTCTTCTGTGGTCCCGTGGCCACTGCGTTGTCGGAGTTGCCCACTTTGTACATATCACATGCTGCCTGAGTTACTTGTACATCTTACTTTTGCCTCTAGTTTTGTAAGCTCCTGGAGGGTGGATACCCCCTCTTAGATTTCTCTTGTATTCACAGCACCTCATGCAGTGCTAGGCACAGAGTAGGTGCTCAATAAAGATTTATTGAACGCGTGATCTGTAGAGAGAGGAATGTGTATACATATGTAAGCACTTTTATCAGGACAGATTGTTAGTCTCAACACAAAGCTTCCATTGCTAGCAAAGTCCTGGGTTTCTTTCTTAAACTCTTTGTGCCCTACAAACACACAGTTCCTTCTGGAAGTTGCCATAAGAACCTCCACAGGACAATGAGTGGCACCTGCCCTGGCTCCACATGGCCTTGCCCTCTCATGGTGGTGTCCTGAGCCAAGATCCTTTGTGGAACATGGAACGACTCCTGAAGAAGGGTGATGTCTGACCTGGCACCCCACAATCCTCCCTTGGAAAATAAGCAGAGCCCCATGGAGAAGATTGGGAAGCCACTTGCATGGCTAGGGAAGTGAGGCTCCCTGGAAGGATCTGGATACTTGTGTCGGGCATAACAGATATGATCCTTGATCAAGAAATTATCTCTGTGGATTGGTTCTTGTAAGCAGGGTTTTTAAAAGAATCCAAGGGAACTATCTAGATTCAATTTTGTCTGCACAGGTATTGTTCTTTCTGATTTTCTTAAAGGAAGTCTTATACAAAGCTATCTCCAGGTTTACACTAGTGCCAAGGTGTATTTCCTGTACTCTTTATTTGTGGACTCATTTTAGTTTTTTCTATATTCATACTGCTCAGTTCTTTGCAAACTATACCCACACATCCAGTCAGCTGTTTCTACAATGCTTGTTACAAAACAAAATACTGGGGCCCGGCGCGGTGGCGCAAGTGGTTAAAGGTCCTCGCCCTGCACGCCCGGGATCCCATATGGGCGCCGGTTCTAATCCCGGCAGCCCCGCTTCCCTTCCAGCTCCCTGCCTGTGGCCCGGGAAAGCAGTCGAGGACGGCCCAAAGCTTTGGGAACCTGCACCCGCGTGGGAGACCCGGAAGAGGCTCCTGGCTTTGGATCGGCATAGTATCGGCCGTTGCGCTCACTTAGGGAGTGAATCATCGGACGGAAGATCTTCCTCTCTGTCTCTCCTCTCTGTATATCCGCCTTTCCAATGAAAAAAAATAATAAAAATAAATCTTTAAAAAAAACAAAACAAAATACTGGACAGTTTCCTGGCCCATCCCTCTGCTTTGGGGAACTGGTCCATCCGTTTCAGCAGACTCTTTCACATTTACCTCACCAACCTGAGTTTGAAGCGGTAGTCCCCAGTTTCCTACCATAGAGAGGGGCCGTCTAGCCCTGTTCATTTCATTGTCCACCACACAAGCTCTTCCCACCCCTCTCTCCAGTGTAGTCTCAGCACTGATGAACTAAGTGTTATATGAAGTCGTTAAGTCCAAGTATAAGCTGTTTATTCCTGGGCTGTGTGTATGGTTGTGGTAACTTGTCCATCATGCATATTTTGTCTTCCCTGCACCAATTGCCTCCTCTCCCTTGTTTTTGCCATGTTCCCTACATCTTTGTTACTAGTAACCCACAAACTCTCCGGTTATCAGGAATCTCCGATGTGCAGTGTTGGCTGTGGCAATGTGGCCACGGGCATCTCTTCTGAAGCCCCGGACCTCGGATCCCGGGCACTTGCTCCATCATCTTTGCGGCTTCCTAGACTTCCCTCACCATCATCCTGGGGTCCTGGAGGAATCATGCTTCCTTATCCTATGTCTTCTCTCTTAATTCACATTGCTTTGGTGAAATATCACTTAGTAGCTTCCTGGAAAACTGCATAGAACTAATTTTTTTTTAATCTTGACTGAAATTCACTAGGGTTAAGATTCTTGATTAGAATTAATTCTTCAGAATTCTGAAGGCACTGCTCTACTGCCTTTTGGCTTCTGTTACTGTTGATAATTCATTCCGGTGGGCAATTTATTGCTTCTGATTGGTTTGGGGTTTTATTTTCCCTTATTGGATGCTCTTGGGTCTTTTCTGTGCCCTTACTCTTGGTTTTGTTTGACATTCTTTCCCCCATTTTGCTGATCAATTCAGTGGGGCTTGTTCATTCTAGAAATTCACAAATTTTTGGTTCTTGGAATTTGTAATGATTTTTGGTTCTTGGATTTGTAATCCTTTTTTTAAGGATTTATTTGTTTTTATTGGAAAGCTAGATATACAGAGCAGAGGAGAGACAGAGAGGAAGATTTTTCATCCAAAGATTCACTCCCCAAGTGATCGCAACGGCTGGAGCTGACACAATCCGAAGTCAGGAGCCAGGAGCTCTTCTGGGTCTCCCACATGGGTGCAGGGTCCCAAGGCTTTGGGCCATCCTCGACTGCTTTCCCAGGCCACAAGCAGGGAGCTGGATGGAAAGTGGGGCTGCTGGGATTAGAACCGGCACCCATATGGGATCCCGGCGCGTGCAAGGTGAGGACTTTAACCACTATGCTATTGTGCTGGGCCCCCAAATTATTTCTTAATGAGTTTTGTCTTGAATATGTTATCTCCAGCCTTCATGTGTCTGAAGTTTACTTCTTGAGTGCCTGTGGTATACTAGGATAATTCCAGGTTAAAGCAGTGATTAGGAGTTGAATCTCTACTCATGGAACTTATGTGCCACTGGAGGCCACAGGCAACAAGTGAAAATAACAATTTGTACGAATTAAAGAATCAAAAGACTGTGACCAAGTGACCTAATAACTTCTGCTCAGGGCTCAGAAAGAAGTGTTGTGAGGAAATAGCATTTAAGTTAAAATTGGAATGGTGAGATTACACTGGCCAGAGGAACAGTGGAGTCCAGAGGTGGAGACAAGCTGAGTGCAGAGAGATGGTGTCTACAGGAGACAGTGGAAGAGTGGAGGTGATGGAGTTGAAGGTGGAGAGCTGGGAAAAGTTGGGTCATGCAAAAGGTCTTCCAAGAGTGGAGGGCAGCTGCTGAAGCAGTGGCCTGTGACTGAACTCAGCAAATGTGAGCACTGGTATGTGGTAGCCACGGCCCTGGCGCTTGAAATGCATGTTGCAGTTGCTTTCATTTTAAAAGGGAGTGGCCATAAGGAATAGATATAGTGAATATAAAATATACAAGTACAGTATGCTAAAAAAGGTAATATACACGATTTAATGCTATTTACAATGCTCTGGTTGGAGAGGTGGAGGAGGAAGGACTCGGAGAGTCTCCACCAAAGCTCTTGTGACAAACCTAACGAGATGGTGTCAGTTTTGACTGCAGTGATAGTAGAAGAGTTAGAGGTGAATGAATTTGGAATAAGCGTTAAGGGTAGAGTCACCAGCACTTAGTAGCTAGAATGAAGGGAGTGGATAGAAGTCGAGAAATGGGTTCTCCCCAGATTTTGGCAATGATGAAGGAAATGTAGATGGATGTTAAAGATGATTAGGAAGCAGAGAAGTCAGTTTTGCCTTGCTTAGGATCATTTGAGAGACCTGTACATCTGAGTGGAGAAATCAAGATGTAATGAAGCTACTGATGCCAAGTAAAAAGTATATATGGACATCATTTAGAGCCACGGCCCAGAGCGCATGTGAAGATCAAAATTAGGAAGGTGCCCATATGGATCCCTGTGGCATCGCGGCATCTATAGACCAGACAGGAAGAGAGCAGAAGAATCAAACAGCAGCCAGGGAAATAGGAATAAGCCAAATAAAGGGAGATAAAACTCAAGCCCCTTAAAGGAGGGCAAAGTTGGATGTGTCCATTGCTGCTGAGACATCATGGAAGTAAGAAGAGAGAAGCAGCTGGTGAATCTGTCGACATGGTGAGGAGGGGAAAGAGCGAGTACAACTCATTCCAGAAGCTAAGAAGGGTCCTGTTAATTAGGTTTCCCACAGAGTAGGTGCAGGTGGAAGGGCCATGGGCTATTTTGGATAATGCTTGTTTGCCACACCAGGATATTTGGTCCTTCCTACTCTGCCCATGAGGACAAATGTGTTTATGGAATATGTCAACCAGGCTTTCTTGCTCTCTGGCATCTAACTGCATCTAGCCAAGGGGTGGTAATGTGATATAAGCGGGTTGGGGCAGAGGAAGGCCAGTTCATTGCCCTTTCCCTCTGCCATGAGAGGAACTCTCCACCACAAAAACCACAGCTTCTGTTGCACTCACATTCTGTCCCATTTGAGTGTTTCATTATCTTTGAGTTGTAACGCTTAAAAACTTTTTTGTTAAGATTCTTTGGTCCATAAATAGTTTAGAAGTACATTTTTTATCTGTTGAAGTTGTATGGGCGGTCTAAATTATCTGTCATTTTTTATCTTTGTCACATTGTGGTCAAAGAACATTGGCTGCATGACTGACAAGAGGAAATTCACTCAGACACATTGTTTTTCCAAGAAATCCAGCTTCGTTAGCTCCGACTATTATGCTTTTTTGTATGGAGGAGGGGAGATAGTTTTCTATCTCTGCCCAAGCAAGAAATCTTGCAAATATCTGTACTTCCAGTAAACATGTTTATCCAAAGCTTCCCACAGCAATTATTATCAAGAAAAAATCATTTAATGGGAAAGACACTTTAAAAAGTAAAAGTTTACCAGCTTCTACAGAACATAGTGATATTTGTACTTCAGGAGTCTTGGAAGACTTTTTTACAAATAACATTTGCAAAAAAATGGTTTTTGTGATAACAGGGAAAAAGAACAGAAGTGGCTATAGATATGAATTGCCACATGGCTGTACACCCAGAGCTGTAGCGTTCTTGTGGGGCTGTTGGCTGGGTGCTTTATCAAACAAGTAGCAGGAGGAAGCAGCCTCTGCTTCGTTTTGAAAGTCCCTCCACCAGCAGTTGGTATTCAGCACCACTAGCATTCCCAGGACTAAGTTCTAGATTTCTACGGGCTAGTGGTGGGGAAAAGAATAGGCCAGAAGCTTAACACTTACTCATTGGAGAAGATGGAAGAAATTTTAAAACAGAATATGTAACATTTTGCTTCGACAACAACACTGGTTGTTTGGCTTCTATGTCTAGGTCTTTGTTGTTCTGACATTTCTGAATGCCTGGAGAGATTATATTTTCCTGGTCAAGTTCAAGGATCTATATATGTCTTGTAAGGCATCAGAGATGACTTATTTTGTTATTTAAATGTGC